ACTGCGTGAAACACACAGTAGTATAAAACTTCAACTGCGTGAAACACACAGTAGTACGAAACATCAACTGCGTGGAACACACAGTAGTATGAAACTTCAACTGCGTGAAATACACAGTAGTATGAAAATTCGGCTGCGTGAAACACAAACTTCACGCATGCGTGGAGTGTATGGAGTGCACGGGAGTGATTCACGCAATGGTGCGAATAGTCACGGCCTTATTAGTAATGGAATGGAGAAAACGTATATAATGTATACGCCGAGGGTTTTTATCGCACACTGCGATAAAATATCAACTTTTGAATTCTCAATATCTGGCACATAAATGAATGGAAATAACTTGGTCTCATTTCGAAGCGGAAAGCAGGAGAAATCAACAAAATTCGTTGAATTTCAATTACTGAGATATGCAACGGATTTCTGAAAACAAAAAAAATTCTTTCTGCAGACTTGGTCTTGATGAATGGGCCAACGAAAACGAATTGGTAGATTCTTCAGACAACAATGGATATTTTTCAAAAGAACTCGCTCAAGACATAATCCGATGTATGTTTCACAATCAAGGATCAACTATCGTCACGATTATCGATTGAATCAAACTTCAACGAGTTATTCTGCGAATTATCCATTCTTATCTGTATAATGTTCTGGTTCGCTTTAGTTAGAAAGAGTTTTTTTCGTAATTTTTTTATCTCGACAGAGTTTGTAGTAAAAAAAATTAGTTTCTTAGTGCACTCGGGGTGTAGAAAACTACACGTCACTGACCGAAGGCCAATTACTGACCATTTTTGATCAGACAAAAAGTGACGGAATTTCGCGTCACAAAAATGACCAAAGAAAATCTTAACGGTCATTTTATATCTAGATAGAGAATTCGTTTTACTAGCGTTTTGTTAACCATTCAATGAGTCTAATCAACTATCCCAAAAAAATCAAAAGAGTCCATTTTTACCGACTCATCCGTATTGCATTCAGCACCATCAAAAACATTAATTCCAATCATCAAATCTAATACATCTTTGTAATGCCTATGGATCCTGGGCTAGCGTATCAATTCTACGTATAAAGTTTTTTTGCAATGGTAGATTTGGACGCGCGCTCCGAGTGTGTATTCTCTACCTTATGTACCTCAAGAATTGATAAAACCGAGATATAGATGTTTTCGATGGATCTCCACTAATATTAAAACTTAATATGATTGTGGTAGAGATTATGTTGAAATCCATTAGGTTCTTTCAGAGCATATTCACTCCATAAGAATCATTGGTATTTGGATTATTCACGTTCACACACCAATCGAGTGAAAAAACACAATTGCAATTTTGAGATAAGAAATTTTGAAGGCAGAAAATTTACCAACCTCTCGAAGAACGAACGGGTTTTTTCGTTTTCTCAATTACCAAGGGAATGAGTATCAGGTATACATTATCATTTTCAATTCAAATTCGAAATCATTCGCGATGAAGTGGCAATATTAAGCTTCGATCGACCAGGGATTTTCTTTATTATGAAAAATTTAAATTATTCTCTGTAGGTAAAGAACCAAAACAAAATCATCATGAATTAAGGTACGATTGTGAATTATTTGTTTTTTAAAAAAGTCTTGAAAATTTGCAATATAGAATACCGAAATTTAATTTTTTTTCTATTTAGTTTGGTATGTATGTTATATTATATTATATGATATATAATATAATATTTATATTATATATTGTAGTATTTATATGCTATTTACTTTAATTTAATTTTATGACTAATCTATTTCATGTTGTTTACTATAACAAAATTCTTAAAAAGAAAGGTATTTTTTAAATAATTTTTTATAATTATATTATAGCATACTATTTATACTATACTATATTATATATAATACATTATAATATATGATGGTATAATGCTAAAGAAAGAATACGTTAGGCGGAATAGATTGGCTGCAAAAAACGTTACATTGAATTTTCTATTAAAGGGATCTGTCGAGTTTGTCGGGACAAGGGGGAATTGTTTGTTTTTTTTTTGGCTGTGCGAAGTCCGCCAAGTTCAAGGTCCTGTGTAGAGTAAATTCGAATGTGTAAAGCGGCGATTCACCCAAAAAAACAACTATCGACACCCCCTCCCCTAGGGACGGAAACATTCAACAGTTGAATCATTCATCAAGGTCACCCCTCCGGCACGATAAAGCCAAACTGACCGTACATATGTCAGATTCTTTCAAATATACTACGCTATTTATGCTATGCCATTCCGATGCAATTCCGAATTCATGTATTTCATCCAGAGTATACCTGGGGTTCATGTTATTGTATGGGTTTACCCCTCATGAATTGAACGGGTACTCAACAAATAGTCTGATACAATCGGGGTTGAATAAAATATAACTCTCTCACAAGCATTCGTGGATATCTACGAAAGCAAGAAAGACAATACTGAGAATAGCTCAGCCGATAAAACCTCTCATAAAATGAATAGATAAATAAAACATTTCCAATTTTCCTTTTCATCAAATGAAAAATCTTCTTCTATTACCCATTCAATTAACGAGTCATGTCAATGTTTTGTTATACTTATATCATTTTTAGGTTCCAGTGGGGATTGTCAGGGTTGGTAAATTACATCGTTTTTTACCGATGTAATGTACGTAAATTATCTCGACGGATTTTTTACATTTTTTACATTACTTCGAAGAGCTGGCAATTTTCGGTTACTAGAAAGTTTTATTTTATTCCGACTGACGAAGACACAGTATTGGACACATAAATATCATAAAATATAATATATTATGTCCCGCGGTCAGGTAAACCGCGAATTTTAACTTCACTTTGTTCGGTTAGAGCGCGGTTCTCGGTACTTCGGGTACAAAAAATTATTTTACATCACATAATACGATTTACGGCATTTCAAGAAACTCAAAGACATGAGCCTGATACCTCATAAAGAGTAATTTTCACGAGGTCAAACGTTGTAAAAGGCCGAAGTCACATGGAGCTCCTCCATATTTTAATAACGCGTATACCGAACCCCAATTTCAAACACTGTAGTGTATTTTAGTAAATAGTTCATTAGTCAATATATCTATAGCTCATACCAGTTATACCCAGAGTTTTGATACTTCAACAATCCTTCCTAATATCCCACTATTCTCGGAAGTGAACGGATCCCCCGTAAGCGAGACCGAAATAGTTAGTCGGACATAAGGGTATTAAGACGACCCTTGGATACACAGGAATATCCAGAAATAGCATCAGGAGTTATTTCACTAAAGTTAGATCGTCGAAAGGATTAATGCAGGAGACGATCTAACTCAAAACGTTACATATACGAATATTTTCTATACGAATTATTTCTGTACTTAAATTTTTACATAAATTTTTGTTGTCATACGAAAGATGTCTAAACGCTCCAGAGAAAAACGTAGGGAATGTCATACACAAAAATCCAAAAGAAATTCTATACGCAATCCGTATAGAAAATTTCTATACGATTTTTTTATACGTGTAAACACAACCCCCGCCTCTGGCTGAAGCTGTAAACTTCACACTCGCCAAAAACGCAATTTACCAAGTAATTAAGTATAATACCCTTCTATTACCCCATGAATTAATGTTTCTTTCATTCTATTATGTTCAGGTCCTAGTAATGACAGCCCAGATATTCCTCGACATTTTGGAGCACGGCTACATGTCCCTGAATCAGGTGAACCTCCTCATCTTCGACGAGTGTCACAGAGCTGTTGGTGACCATACGATGCGTCGAATCATGCGGAAGTTCGAGAGTTACCCTGAGAACGAGCAGCCACGTTTTCTAGGCACCTCAGCGACATTACTCAATTCCAACGTCAAAATGGCTAAAGTCGCTGAAGTCGTCCACGATTTGGAGATCACTCTCCACGCAAAAGTCATAACGGTGGACTCATTAGCTCCAGTAGAAGGCTACGGCAAACCAAAGGAGAGGTTCGTGGAGTATCGCCCTGTATCTCGTGCCTTCGATCTCCAAATATCCCAGAGACTGGAGATAATGATGAAAATACTGGACAAAGTCAAGTTGAAAGAATCCGGAAGGAACGAGGCGACAAGTGACAGATTCCAACCACAGGAGAAGTCAGCTAAGCTGCGAAACGTCATTGCCGACACCCAAGAGCACGTATTCACTCAAGATCTGTATGGTGGAAGCAAAGCGATCCTCCTCCACATGTTGCAACTGGAGAAAATGAAGAAATGTGTCGATGACGAGGATACCCTAACAATCTTGAGCTTCTTAGTTTCTCAATTAACACTCATTCGAAAGATAATTGAAAAGGAGATTAACAAAATGGAATTAACAGAATTTGAAAAAATTCACAAATACTCGTCCGAGAAGATAATGAAACTCCTGGAAATACTGCGAATCCATTACGACGCTAACGAGGTAACTAAATCAACTCCAGCCAATAAATTCTGTGCCATTGTATTTGTCCGTCGTAGATTTACCGCAAAAGTTCTCTATCAAATCCTCAAAATTGCCTCCCAAGGCAGCGATAAATACTCCTTCATTAAACCAGATTACGTGGTTGGCTCGTCAGTGAATCCATACAAGAACTCCTGCGAGGACAGTTGCATATTGAAGTGGAATAAAGAAGCTTTGATTAGATTTCGTACTGGTGCATCGAACATTCTGATTGCCACAGATGTCGTTGATGAGGGTGTTGACATACCCCTCTGCTCCCTAGTGGTACGCTACGACTTACCGAACGACTTCCGAGCTTATGTACAGAGTAAAGGTCGTGCACGTAGTTCGTGCAGCAACTACGTAATGATGATTTGCACGACAGATGCGGAGAAAGAGAGATCGAGGCACCAAAGTTATGCGAGAATTGAAACTGTACTGAGAGGGTACTTGATAGGTAACACTGACAATCGACCACTGCCAGTGCCCGATGAGTTGAAGCAGTTTCTGTACGCGACGGAAATTGAGCCTTACGAAGTAGTGGACGCGAATGGGGTGCACTATTCAGTCTCCGACATTGGTGCAATCAGTTTGATTCATCGTTACTGCACTAAATTGTGTAGCTCAAAATTCGTGACGTGTGCACCTACGATTAAACAACACCAGACAGATGATGCAAAGAAATTCCTTGTTTCCATTACAATGCCAATTACTTCTCCCCTGAGAGGAGAAATTTTTGGCGATCTCATGCCATCTATAACATTGGCCAAACGCTCAGCCGCATTGAAGGCCTGCATTGCTCTCCACAAAATTGGCGAATTGAATGACAGACTACTACCAGCAGATACTAAAGACATCATCGAAGATGTGACACATTTATTGGTGAATTGGAAGGCTGATGATAACGCTGCTCAGAAGGCTCTACTTGGCACTTATGCATGCAATCGTCAACACAAACTCGTTCATCCGGAGGAATTGTCTGCCGCGTATCCTCAGCCGAATGCCGTATCCTATCTACATGTCATTCAAGTTAAACCAACGTATTCAAGACCATTTGAGGAGAAGAGACACCGAGAACAGGTGTTCTACGATTTCCTGAATGATCCCTCTGGTTTTGCCATTCTATCCAGCAAGAGGATGTCTCAAGTACCAGGATTTCCGTTGTACATGAACGTGGGACCCCTGCAGGTTGACATAAATGTCAATCACAGTGAAGTCGTGCTGTCTTCCGTTGAAATTAATCAATTGAAGAATTTCCACTGGGTTGTTTTTGCAGAAGTGTTGGGCATTGTCAAGCCCTTTACAATGTTCGATAATGAAAATATGGAGAACAATTATCTCATCGTTCCAATCGATGTAAATTCAAACATTGATTGGAATATTGTGAATAATAATCAGGAGATCCTCAAGATTCCTCACTCAGCAGGAGGGCAGCAACTACCCCATGAGGTGGCATTAACATCAGCTCTATCAATGGTTGGTTATGCGAGTAATAATAATTCTCCTAGAGTCGATGATTACGACGATTGGCAACTAGTGAGACCGAATTATCGAGATACTGTTTATATTGTCACAAAAGTCTGTCATGATATGAATCCACTGTCCGAGTTTCCCACCGATGATTTTAAACATTACAAACATTATTACGGTGAGAAACATGGGTTGGCAATAACAGATTTCAGGCAGCCTCTGCTGGAAGTCAAAGCAATAGCCATAAACATTGATTACATTAAGCCGAGGGGTCGAAGTGCTTCATCCAAGAGGAGGGAAAGGGACAATTTTGAGGAGCACTTAGTGCCAGAATTGTGCGAGAAGATGACGTTTCCACGTCTTTATTGGCTGAAAGCGATGTACATACCCTCAGTGATTCATAGACTGTCGCAGTTGTTGATTGCTGAGGATTTGAGGAAGAGAATAGTACGGGAGACGGGTCTGGGGCTAATTGAAGTGGCTAATGGCGCTTGGCCACCCCTCCAGTTGTCTGAGGATGATGACAAATTCGATTCATCGACCTGCTCTGAGAAGAGTCTGGAGGACGAGGAGGAGCACGACCTCGTGGATGATGCTGGATATGAAGGTGACGATTTGAGGGGACAGGGGGATGCCGATGCATCAGAGGGTTTTTTCCAGATGCTGGACAGTATGAAGAACTCAGAGTCTGAAACACCAGCAACTCTGGAAGTGGATATTTTGAGCCTGGAGTCTAATGTTTATGATTGGCCAAAGGACAAGGAGCCAATGGATCTCGAAAGGAACATTGAAAAAATTCAACTCATTGACATTGACTATTACTTCCAGTTCACCAATGTACGCTCGAGAAACGCTGAGATACTGAAGGAAAAGTATAAGAGGTATCGGTTTTCGAAGCGACCCAATGTTTCAGTTCCAAAGCTCCAAGTGACAGATAAGCATCAGACATCTGTTGAAGCTCTACTCACTGGTCCAACTCCACTGGAGATCATGTACGCCCTGACGACGAAACCAGCCCACGATGCGTTTAATCTGGAGCGTTTAGAGACCCTGGGGGATTCATTCCTGAAGTACATTACTTCAGCCTACCTTTTCGAGCGACATCGATTCTATACTGAGGGCAGACTGACTGTTTTCAAAGGACAAATCGTTGGTAATCGTCACCTATTCTACTGTGGAGAGAAAAAGTTGATCCCAGGGAGATTGAAGATCGATGATTTTGGGGCCAAGAGTAGCTTCATACCGCCCTGCTTCAGTGTGCCCAGAGAAATTCAAAGGATGATGAAAGACGAGGACAGCTCACCGAATGTCCTCTACGATATTCATATGACTTCTGAGGAGAGAAAAGAGGGAGAATTATCAGAGGAGACCAAAGCCATAAGCAGCGAGAGAATTTCATCCTGGTCGCAGAAAGGAATCACTACTCATACTGGGACAGAGAACTACCTGGGGATCCAGATAATTAAAGATAAAATGGTCTCAGACTCTGTGGAAGCTTTGATAGGAGTTTATCTCAATGCAATGGGTCTTCCAGCTGCCACAAAGCTTGTCAAGTGGCTTGGGATTCTTCCTGATGACGCCAATGTCGATAGTATTCTGTATGGCAAAGCTGCAACAGCCAAAATTGGGACTGGAGATCCAGACGTTCACATGCCTTGGGCTGCCTCGATCGAGGACACTCTGGGGTACAAATTCAAAGATCGATCGTTCCTCCTGCAAGCTTTCACCCATCCATCTTATTCGAATAATAACATAACTACTGATTATCAGAGGCTAGAGTTCCTGGGGGATGCGATTATTGATTTCTTGATAACTGTGCATATCTACCAAAGCTGTGGAAATTTGACCCCTGGGGATTTGACTGATCTGAGATCAGCATTGGTCAACAACATAACTTTTGCTTGCCTAACTGTCAAGTTTGGACTCCACACAGGACTTCTTGCATTCTCCCCTAATTTAACTGATGCCATTGATAAATTCGTGTCTTTCCAAGAGGAGAAGGGGCATAAAGTTGGTGATGATCTCCATTGGATTCTACTGGAGGAGGACGAATGCAACATGGCTGAGTACGTCGAGGTACCAAAGATGCTGGGAGATCTCTTCGAGTCGGTGATTGGTGCCATCTATCTGGACACTGACAAGAACCTTAACAAGGTCTGGGAGATTTTATACTCTATGATGCACGAGGAGATAAGGAACTTCAGTGAGAAGATCCCCAAGGACCCTGTGAAGTGCATTCATGAGGCTCAAGGGGCTCATCCCCACTTCTCGAAGCCAGAGATCCTCGACTCTGCTGGCAGTATTATGGTACCCCTGGAGATCGTCATCGGAGGAAAGAGGAAGTTATTCCATGGATTCGGTGCTACTGGAAAGCAGGCGAAGCGAGCAGCTTCCAAGCAGGCGCTCAAATTCATTCATCGTAGCTTGCAGGGGTGAATAATTATCTTGTCATATTGCTGTGGGGCGATGGATTGTAGTTGATGCCCACGTGCATTATCTTTCTAATGTGATTTTCATGTTTTTTTATTCTTGTTATCTGGAATGTTCTCCAATTGCCATTCAGTTTTACATAGTCCTGGATCAATCAAAAAACGCTGAAGAAAAAGTGAACATTTTCAAATAGCGTTTTTAATAATACTGGGGAATAAAGCCAATAGAGAGGAAATTGCAGATTAATAATTTGCTATATCTAATGGATGTTAGGTCGTCATTTGTCACAGTAGCCAGTGGCTGTTTGATCGTTAGTTGCCATGATACATTATCATTGCAATATCCATTTGCAATTTCTTCTCTATCAGACTTATTTTCAAATCTGTTAAATTTGCTGAAAACGCTTAAAAATGTTCATTTTTTTCTCCTTTTTTGAGTGTATAAACATGTACAATCCAATGAAAATTGTGATATATTTTAGATTATGAAGATGGAAAAACAATCGAGATAACGTTCCAGAGATAATTCGTCGGGGCATTAATTAATTCATGTATTTTTCTCAAATTGTGAAACTGTTGATTGAGTGTTGGACGAGGAGTACTGAGCATTGAGAGTGGATATTTTTATATATTATCGCTTTATTATTAAATAATTACTTGCTATTTTTATATTGCATATAAATCAACGCACAAAGGTTTAATTGATTTATCGTGTACTTGGGAATTTATCATCACTCTGATAACAGCGAAGTAGAGGAGCGGATTTCATTGATTGCATGCCAAGAAAATATGATAAACATAATCAATTAATCTAATGATGAGAATCTTTTGATTGTGCTCGTATGTTCTCAATACATTCCGAACTTCCCTCATTGCTTGCAAACATTATTGACTTTTCTTTTGTCCGAGTCATTCTCGGCATTTTAACGTGCAAATTGGATGTTAGCCGTTCAAATTATGAAATCTATTTACGAATTATCAAGAAAAAACTGCAATTTCAGTTTCATCTGAATATACTGTTAATCCACAGGGCTTCAATCTACGTTTTTTTTTTATTCAGAACATTATTAATTCATGCTCGGTGGTTTGGCGCAGTGGGTAAGTTCATTGCCTAACATGCGAAAGGTTCCGAGTTCAAATCCCGGCCGGATAGAATGGTGCGATCTAACCATTTAAAGTCTTAATCATCATCGCAGTATACCCTAATGTAAAATAACGATAAAAAAAAATCATTAATTCAAAATGCATTGAGAAAGAGAATTCTTTGCCAAATGAATTTCGTCTCCACAAACTCGTTAATTGTGCGGTAATTAATTCCTTCGTAGTGACTAAATTCACTTGACGAAAATATTGGTTTTCTCAGTTTATTACAGAATAAGTTCGTTTATCCATGTTACCATAAAATATATTGATTTAAATGAATGGAAATTTATTACAATAAAATTATTGAATTTTTCAATTCATGGGTTTTCGTTTTTTCAATGATGGCCTGTCGAACACCTGCTTCATTCCAGCTGCTTGATTATTGTGGAATTTAAGATTCTGGGCTGTTTCGGATATCCAGGGAGAGTCGAATTGAGTGGTATCCTGATCCACGAGGTGAGTATACTTCGTTCTTCCGCTTCTACCGAAGTTCTTCACCTGCATCACCTTTGGTAGAACTGTTTTATCAAAATGATCTTCCAGTGTTGCTCCAGAGAAGTCACGCTTGAATACAGTCTCATCTTTGTCCAGGTAGAATGCACCTCTGTGATAAAACTTCTGGAGGAATTTGTATTTTCCTTTTGCAGCTTTGTTGGTGACGATCTTGGGATTAACTCGTGCTTCTTGGCGTCTCTCTTCCTCAGTCAAATTACGGAGTCTCTCAGTCTCCATACGTTCCTTCTCGATTCTGTGAGTGTCAAATCATTTCATGAATATTAAATGGAATGAAAATGTAAAACAGGGTGAAAAATGTGGGATTTTACGCAGTTTGAAGCATATTCTACATTTTAAACTGTATTTTTTATGCAAAAGTGACTTTCTATAAGAATAGATGTTAAATGATAAAAATGGTAATTTTATTATCTCCTGAAGGGTAAACTATCTTCTCGGAATACTAAGGATGTACCTGATATACCATTAGTCGTGTTTTTTTTTCATTAGTGCAATTAATTGAATCAAAATTGATGAACAATACTCACGCTTCACGCTCCTCACGATCGCGTTTAATCCTCTTCAACTCCCTCAATTTCCAAGCCTCATATTCCACTTCATCGTTCTCGTCATCAGTGCAGACATCGTTCAACTGTCCTTCAATAGTGTCTACAGACTTTGTATTCGTGGTATCCTTACGAATCGCCTCCTCCACCATCTTGAAAACAAAATTATTCACCAGTTTTATAACTAAACTTATATCAAATAATCCTCTACCACTGCAAAATCTTTTGTGATTCCTACATAAATGTAACTCAAAGTATATTGTGTGTTGAATTTCTAGTTGAAATAATACAAAGCTATACATTGAGAAAAAACAAGTTTTTCGAAAAGTACGTCTTTACTTGTATCAAGAAACTTCTGATTGGAAAATTGACAAAACGAAAATATTGCACACTGAGAAAAGAAACCTTTTATCAAGAGATTTTGTACTTGTCCGAAAGATGAGGGGAAAGTTATTCACAAGAAAGCCACTTCTCGAACCAAGTCCAAGTGATTTTATAATAAAGTGGCATTAAAATATTCGGAATTTGAGACTTAAAAGCTATTGATTAAATTGATTCAACTAGACTTGGTTCGAGACATCACTTTTTTGTCATAACAAGGAAGAAACAAAACAAATTATCCTCGTTATTGGGACAAATACGCAAACTCTTGACGAAAATTTTTTCTTTCTCAATGCAATTAATTTTATATTTTTCTCTCAATGTTTACAGTTGAGTATGAAGAACATTTTTATGATGTTTATGCTTTGGTTTGAAGCCTAAACAGAGTTGAATGAACAGGACCTACTGAGTGCACGTCAGCAGAGGTCCAGGGAGGTATATCTCTTCGTTATTTAGTCAGTTCCTCCGAGGAATTGGTGTGGAGTGGATGTGATGTGTGGATGCTTCCGAGCATATTAAATAAAGAGTAAAAATAATAAAGTTTCTTCTTCACTTATTTACCGGTTTGGTTATTAAAATACCCCATTTCAAATATTGTCCAACAAAGTTATTTTCTCCAGAGGTTTCTGAGTAGTATTGTCCCAACAGAATCCTCAGATTTGTGTTAGATGTAGCTCTAAACAACGGTTTTCACTGATTCTGCATTATTTATTGAATTGTACGTCCAAACAATAATCGAAACATAGTAAAAAAAATTGAGTTGATTGAAAATTAAATTTAAAAATTCAAATCAAATTATTAACATTAAGACCCGGGTGGATTATCTTTCGAACGTAATCTCGATTGTTTTTCCATCTTCATAATGTAAAATATATTACAATTTCCATTGGATTTTACATCACGCAGGAGGCCCTAAAAATTATGATTGTACTATCAAAAAAAGTAGAAAAAAACTGAACATTTTCAAAGAGCGTTTTTAATAAAGATTAAGAAATAAGTTCGATAGAGAGAAAATAGTGAATGGATAAATTATCATGGTAACTAACGATCTGACAGCCATTGACTACTGTGACAAATGACGACCTAACAGGCATTAGATACATCAAATTATTAATTTGCAATTTCCTCCATATTGGGTTTATTTCCCAATATTATTCAAAAACGCTCTTTGAAAATGTTCAGCTTTTTTCAACGTTTTTGATTGTTCAATCATAATTTTTGGAGACTCCAGGGCTATGTAAAACTGAATAGCAATTGGAGATCATTTCAGATTATCAAAATAAAGAAAACAATCAAGATCACGTTCGAAAGATAATCCACCCGGGCCTTAAATTATAAAAAATTGACATTGAAATCTTATTAAATTATTGATTTTTGCACTTGTTAATTGAAAGAAAAAATGGCCTTTATATCACATTAATTATCGATGCGACAGTTAAGTTGTTAAATTAATTTGGCTTACGTTGTCAACTGGAAAGCAAACGAAAAAGATGAAAATAAAAATTGAAAAATCTTGGATCACTACAGAAAATGCAATAATTTGAATGAAATCAGTTGATATAACATAGTAGAAACGACGTACTACCGCGTTCTCAAAAGATTTGAATTTTGTTTTTCAACACAATGTTCAATGCAATTGGGTTTGAACTGCTTGGAATGTATGCAAAAAACATTGAACTATTGGGAAGATACACTCGATCATTTTTTGGTCATTTTTAACTTGTTTGCGATGTTTTTCATTGAAACAAGAGAAAAATTCTCTCGTTCGAATTTTTTTTTCGCTCAGTGTATACCCGAGGAATGCGCATGAGCTGTATCCGCCGAGGATTACCTCCAACCAACCCTTTGATAAATGTGTGCAATTACCCTAAGTGTCTGTCGCTTCCTCTCCTCAGCCATTCGTTTGCTCTCTGCCTCAGCCTGTTTCTGCTTTATAGCTTCCTTCTCCTTCTCCATGACTGTGATTCTGTCCTTCTTCCTCACGAATACTGGCTTCAGCCTGGGTCCAGTCTCTTCCTCAGAGTCTGTGTACTCCTCATACTCAGAGCTTTCATCACTACTGCTCCCAGACTTCTCCTCCTCATCCCCATTCATCAAGTCCTCAACGGTTTCCTTCTTCGACAGCACCCTAGCCTTCAGAGCCTCACGTCTCCTCTCAATCTCAGTGTCTGACAGCTCCTCGTCTTCAGAATCGTCTGAACTCTCGAGTTTTATCCTCTCCCGAGGTCTCTCCGACTCTGTTGTTTCCAATATCTCGGGCTCGTGCACACGACGATGTCTCTCTGTACGAATTTCAATGTCTCGTTCATCTTCTTCATCGTTTGCTCCACCATCACCTCCATCGTGCTTTCCTTTCTGTCGTTCTAAACGTGTCAGCCTCCGCAATCGTGGATCATCCTCGTCAAGTGCACTTGGACCCTCTCCCTCGCCTCCTGACTCGTCACCTGCGTGAGTCTCATCCACATGAGTTCTTCCAACTCGTCTGTCCAGGAAGTCATCTTCCTCGGATTCCTCGTCTGAACTTGCCACTGGTGCGTAATCTGGACGTTTTCCTGACACATATCTGTGGACTTTTACTTTTTTCATCGACACTTGACCTGTGAAAAGAGGGCACGCAATTGAAATTGTCATTCATTGTGCATTTTTGTAAATTCGTCTGGGGCTGTGAGTAGAGAAATTATACTGACCTTTGTCGTTTTTGACGGGCACAGCACCCGCTGTACTTTGAATTCCCATTGGAGCTGGTGCCAAGGAGTTATTTGTCACAAAATAATCCATTTTTGTGGTGATTTGCTGAGGATTACTGGAGAATTAAACACGAAAAAACTCAGCTTACGACAGGAGATGGTTACGACTCTACGAATGTTGTGACATTGAGGTTATGGTGTTGTTTTGGGAACAGCAGCGCCAACTTTTTTATATTTGAGTGGGAGGCGCAGGTCTCAGCAATAAGTTGTTGTCAGCCGGAAACTATTATTTATAAACAAATGACGATGGTAAATCGATTGCAATTCGTTAGCAGGTGAATGTAATGCATTTTTGAGCGTTGAAGAGTTACTTAATTGATTATTAATTTTAAAAAACTAACGACCGAAGAAAAATTAAATAGAGTGCAAAAAAAATCCGGCCAATTATACGCGTCGTTAGTTTTTTTCGAATTAATGATTAACTGAGTAACTCTTAAACGCTAAAAAATGCATTAGGGGCGGGTGGGGCGGTATGGACACCAAATTTACATAAATGAGTTGAAGTAGATCAAATCTACTGTTCCGACTTCATTTGGAGTTTATAAAAACGAACCAATTGTCATATAAGACTGCAATGAGAGAAAAACGACAAAGTTCTTAAACAAGTCTTACTGATGGCAAGAAAGTAGTTTTTTGAAAATTATCAAAAAAGCCTTGGTTTGTGCCAAACTGGCAGAGAGTGCGCCGGAATGAAAAATTTTTGTCGTAAAAATAGATTTAGTAGTTAAAAAAAAAATTGCATTCTTTGTACACGCAAGAAATATCATTTCTAGCACTCATCCGGTGGCTTGGCGCAGTGGGGAAGTTCGTTGCTCGTTTGAGACTCGTCTCCCAAGACATTTTCGCCAGTATCAATTAATTGTTAGACCTAAGGATGGATTTTTTTATATAAATTTGTTTATATTCAACATAAGAACCTGTAAATAAGAGTAATAAACAAATTTTATTACAAAAAAAAGTAAGTTCGTTGCCTCACATGCGAAAGGTGCCGAGTTCAAATCCCGGCCTGGTAGAATGGTGCGATTTAACCATTTAAAGTCTTGATCATCATCGCAGTATACCCTAACCGGGTCGAAGCGATGTAAAATAACGATAAAAAAAAATTTCTAGCACTACTCCTTCGTTATTCGATTCTCCCATATGTATTTTGCTCCCGAAAAATCTTTGTTTACACGAAACAAGGGATGGTAGTTATTCGTTTCGACTGTCCAATAATCACAGACAAGAAATGAAGCCTTAACTGAAACAATAATAATGATATGGAATCTTGATGTGCAATCTTGCAACTTGAGAATAAAATATTTGTTGATAAATATTCCTCTATATGAGATATTTTCATCTTGAAGAGGCACCGTCTCGTGCGAATTATCCGCCTCTTGAGCCAAATATTTCGTTGCGGTCGAAAGCAGATCAATTATTCATGTTTGAGACTTTCAAATTTGAACCAAAACAATTCTTTTTTGGCAATTTTCAACTAGCGATTTTGTTGGCCCAAACAAGACTTGTTTGACAACAGGTATTGGCCCAATATTGGCCGATTTGAGCATTATCAGTTCTGAAATGACTGTTCCGAATGTCAGTGGGTAGGAACCAAATGAAACAATGGATAATTAATCAACTAATTCATTTTGCATTCTCACAACGAATTACAGGTGTACTGTTATTATGAATACATTTCAAAAGAAGTAATCAAACGAGTCTTCATCAGACTGGTCCATTACTGTTTAGTGGTGGGGTCCTCCGGCTTTTTGGTCGTAGATTCGTCAGCCTGCTCGGTGCGAATGAAAACCAGGGCCTCATCTTCAGCATTCCCTTCTGACTTTTTGGTTTTGCTGAACAATTTTGAGATGAATCGGATGGGTAATTTGGCAATTATCAGTTTAGTTTCCACCGACTGTTTACCAGCGTCGAAAAGGGCCTTCGAAGCCTCGACCCCGGAATCAACCTTGGTGGCGAAACTCAATTCATTTTCGTCGAGAGTCGAGATAGCGGCTTGTTCGATTTTATCGATCAATTTGTTGGGATCTCCCGGCAGAAACTGGAAAAAATATTGCCTTCATTAGAGACTCATAAAAATATGATTTGTAATTAGTAATTCGAACATTTTCGTCGCAGTGTCGAAAATAATGGGGGTCACTGCACGGGGAAAAAAATACCAGGACAATTGCGGTAGTGCACTGATAGAACGGATTAGTTATTGTTAACGAATGGATTTTTGTTGGAGGTAAGGATCTATTCGGTCTCACCACATTTTCATTCGTCAATAGTTAACGAATGTATATTTGAGGAGCCGTGTTTGACTTCACTTTCGCCATTCAAGTGAACCATTCGTTAACTATCAACGAATATTCATTTGGTCATATTCGACTCTATCATTCTTTAATAGTTAACGAATCTACACCTAGTAAAGAAAGAAAACAGGACATCAAAACCTGCGTGTTCGTCGGCTTCGCCTCAGGCAGTAATCCACACGTGAATTGAAATGTCTTGTTTTCCTCGCTTGCTGCACAATCTGCTAATTTTAACACGCCTGCAAAGGAAAGTTTACATTTGGCTTTCTGATGAGCGAGAGGAAGGTGAATACTTTCCGCTCAAGGGAGGAAAGTTGTTTCCGCGGATGGAACGACTCACCCTTCGCCCTTGGACGAAAAGAAATCAGCACTTTCCGCCCGAGGAAGTAACTTTCCACCCTAGAGCGGAAAGTACTCACTTTCCTCTCGCTTATCAGGGAGCAAAGTACAAACTTTCCGTCCAGATGTGTGAAAACTCTATATTTATCACAAGAATGATCTAACTTGCCGCAATATTTTCAATCTTTTCGGCATCCAATCGAGGAAACGATTGTGACATGAATGTGAATGATAATGTCATTCCAAAATTGAATAAGAGCAAGAAAAATCGCAACATTTTATAATATTCAAGCACCAACAAGCTTAATTTTAATGTTAGAGGAAATATTTTTCAGAAAAATGAATATTTTTTAATGTTCTTACGCTGTGCTTCGGTGCAGCGTGCACAAACGTGCAGGCAAGGAGTGTGATACACAATACTTTAGACACCATCTTTCTCTGCTACGTGAAATCTTCTGTTTGGGGAATAACCGTTGACTGATAGAACAATCGTGGACCCATTCATATTTATATCAAAATCGAGCATGATGTAGGTCGAATATGAACAAATATTGCGCAAACGCCGTACTAATGAAATCGAAATCGGAAAAATTCTTCAATGATAACTTCAACGTGACATTTCGGCTAGTAGTTAGTATTTTTGAGTTGCCAATACATTCATAACGAATGTATAGAAAACCACACGTACAGAAATATTCGATAAAAATTACGTATCTTTTCCGTAATTCCAGAGGGGAATGTGGTTGTAGGAAATTTTACGGAACTGTCACATACACGGAAAGAAATTTTTTAGAAAAATTAAAATGCTAGCACGGGAAAAGAGGCGCAAAGTAACAACCAGGACAAAATTCCAGTGCTGACACTGGAAATTTTGCTGGGGAAAACATGAATTTTTCCCCGTATTTCTGTTAAAATTTCACATAAATCCCCAGAAATTTTACCAGAAATCCCGAGAAATTTTACGTTAACAACACAAGAATATTTCACAGTACTCGTACTAGAATTTTTCTGGAAAATTTCTCTCCGTGTAATTTTGATCTACACGGAGAAAAAAAATCCACAAAAATTACTGTGGTAGCACGGTAAAATAAGTTGATTTGGACGGACCCGGAAAAATTCCCGTGCCACCACCGGAATTTCTGCCGTGCGCTACAGGAATTTTTCTCGGATTTACCGTGAAAAATTCTTGTACTTCACAGCAAATTTTTCGGTGCTGGCACGGTCATTTTTCCGGGTCCGTCCAAACGAACCCATTTTACCGTGCTGGCACAGTAATTTTTCTGGAATTTTTTTCTCTGTGTAAAATTACGAAATTTTTCCAGAGCGCTCCGTAATTTTTACCTGAATCTCCTGTGAAAAATTACGATACCGTCACTTAAATTTTCTTAGTCGATTCCGTAATCGCTGAGCGAACTGTGAGTTCCGTAATTTTTACTGAACATTTCTCTCCGTGCAGAAAATTTCGGTAAATATATTCTTGAATTTTCAGGACAGTGACACTGAGTGCGATTTAGGGAGAAAAAAATCATGAAATTTCAGATTTCACTGAAAATTCAATGTAATTTGGCACTGAACATTCATATTAGATTGGAAATTCAAATAAATTAAGGAATTCTCGTCTTTATGTTGCTTAAAATTCTGGAATTTTACTGAATTTTCAGTGAAACTTGAAGTTTCTGTTTTTTCTAACAGCGCAAGTATATTTTATACTCGAATCAAGAATAATATACTTGAATCAAGTATATTTTCTTCTTAAATCAGGTTTATGCAAAGTAAATTGATTCAACACGAAAAGAGATCGCTTCAGGGGAACATATAATTTTCCGGCAGAAATAATTTTTTTTTCGCATTGTATCGTTAAAAATAATATTGTTGTCGATCTTGTGTACAATGAAGCGCAAAGATGCGAATTTCAACAATTTTTTTTCTTGACTTCTGAATTTTTTCCCGATTTTCAACATCGGTATCAGATTTTCAGGAACACCAAACAGACTATCCTTCATCATTGGCAAAAAATTCATTGAATTGGTAAAAACTATTCATCGCTACCTATTGGTGTCAAATGCACCTCGATCGATGGTATTGTTCTCGTGATATTCATATTGTTCAAAGTTGAATTTTTCGACCTTGTGACCAAAAAAATTTTCTTCAATACTGTCGTGAACGTGTCAACCTGTGGTGGTGATACCATTATTTGTTCTCGGGTTATTGTCATAAACGGATTACCTTGAGTCAGACACTTGTTTAGACGAACTGACCTATATTCGAAATTCATCCATTTTTTGTATTAGAATAACAGAACATAGTACGTAGAATTTCAATATGTAAGTTCTTATGTACATGTGATATGTATGTATCTATGGTGACCGAGTTTTTCCCAGTTTATCAATAATCAAGCGATGGAGTGATATTGACATTTTCCAAAATTTGATTTTTCAATGATTCCTCGAAAAATGAGTGATGAAATCCATTCAACCATGGCCTAAAAAATTTGATTCAAAGCCGCTTTGACCGAGGTAGGAGATTCATCATTCGCTTTGACAGTTGTCAGTGGAAAAAGAAATTCATGCAGAAGCAAATTGTTGTGATTGTCTCCCAGTTGAAATTGCATTACCTCAGTGGATATAAAACGTAGAATATCGAATTGAATTTGACCATACAAATAGACATAAGATATAAGAGCAGATCCACGCTAAATTAGCAAGACCACGTATGAAAAAATAGTATAGAAATTTTCTATACGAGATGCGTATAGAAATTCTATAGGATTTCCGTATATGTTATTCGGATATTTCTATACGAATTATTTCTATACATAAATTTTTACATAAGTTTTTGTTTTCATACGAAAGATGTCTAAACGCTCCAGAGAAAAACGTAGAGAAATGTCGCAACTCCATACGAAATGTTTCTATACATGTGGCAGTGGGTCGTATAGGATCAGACCTATAGAAATCGTATAGAAATGATTTGTATAAAAAATATCCGTATAGAAATATCCGAATATCATATACGAAAATCCTATAGAGATTCTGTACGTAATCTGTATAGAAAATTTCTATACGATTTTTTCACACTTGACAAAATGCCGACGCTGGGGATTTTGGTCTGATTTTTTTTCTAAAAAGATGGCAATTAGACAAAAGAGCAATTGAAAAATACGGACAATTGAGGGAATTATAGTTTTTTAACAATTGCTCGTCTTTGTCAAAAAAAAAAATTCCAAATTGGCCTCCAATATCTCTGCGGGGTTTCAAGCTATCAAATCGGCCTTTGGCACACTCAAAAAAAATGAAAAACCGTTCAAAATGAGACGTCATATATAACATTATCTTCAAGTTGACGGGGTTTATACGGGAAAACGCTTCTTTTTAATCTTTAATTACACAAAAAGCTATTTTTTTTCAAATCTGAAATCTTTACTAAAAATTGTCAATGAAATGAAAGGAATTTCGGCGCCAATTAGAGTTTGTCTTTCGCCGTAGTTCGGCGGTTATTATTTTTTTCAGTGGGACAAGTATTGAAAATGACCGAGGACCGGTATTATTCATACAATTATCCTCCAAATGAGTGCATATTCAATGGAATAATAAAAAATTAGTCAATTCATTTAAATTCTCGATTAGCAACAAATGAAAGGTCTTTGAAAAATTGATTTCCATTGTATAATTACACGGAGAGAAATTTTTTAGAAAAATTCTAGTGCTAGCACGGGAAAAGAGGCGCAAAGTGACGGCCAGGAAAAAATTCCAATGCCGGTACTAGAAATTTTATTGGAGAAAACGTCAATTTTTGCCCGTATTTCTGTGAAATTTTCACAGAAATACCAAGAAACCTTAACTTTACCTTAACAGCGCTAGAATTTTCCACAGCCGGTGGATTGTGATTTTTTCCAGTACTCGTCCTAGAATTTTTCTAGAAAGTTTCTCTCCGTGTAGAGAAATAATAATTTTTCACTCAATAAATCATATTGAAGATGAATCATAGAAAATAGAATATGACGTAAAAATTCGATACATTGGATATTTCTATAGAAATTATTGAACACAAATTTTCCTAATTTTTTCCGCTGTATTTTTTACTTTTTCTCGTAATAAAATCCAAGGAAAAAAACTTAGAGGATTCAAGCCCAAGAATTATTAAAGAAAAAATCCCAACAGAATGGGTCACAGAGAAATCAAAATTTTAAAACACACCGGAGAGTCGCATAATTTTCAACGGAATTGGCGCAAAAAATAAATAGAATATTTCAATAGACGTTTTACAGAGTTCCAATAAAAATTCAATAGAATTTCTTGGAGAAAGCGCCAGGTTTTCTCAGCTGATTTCGCATTCTCGGATTGTAACGATTTGAATTGCCGCTTGCGTGGCGCCAACTCTCGTTGCGCATCATGGCGTTCCACAGAGTTCTACTTTATCGTCCGTTTGAAACAGCCCCAACATTTGTGTTGTTGATTGGTTCAGAAAATAAAAATTTCTATTCTCCGCCTAGCCTGCACGTGTCCTTATACTCACCGGGTGATTTTGTAACGAAGAAGTTGAAGAAGCGTTTCAAGATGGAGGAGTGTGACAATAAAATAGAAACTGAGCTGAGTGATCAGAAGAAGTCGTACAGTGGAATTCCGGAGGCACAATTTGTGGTACAGTATTCACTTGGACATGCCTAAAATCATTGACCCGTCCCGAGCTCATGTGTCAAAACTTTGTGGTTACAATGGAGTTGTGCGCCAAATATGGTCATGAATATCAGACTCATGTCATCGAGGAGCAGTGATCAGCATTTGTATCATTCCCTTCTCTTCACTAATTGCCTTATACATTCCTTTAAGCCAATGTTATTGGAGCCAATTACTCCATTCCCAGTTTTTTGCACTTTAAGAATATCCAAGTACATCAGAGCTTTCATTTGAGCCCCATTTGACCCCAAGTTTTCGGATATTTTACAATGATTTCATTATTTAAACTTTGCAGGTCTGAATTTGAATCTCGATATTGAACCGTTAGAAAACATTTAAGAAATCTGAAAAAAATAGAAACTTTACTTTTGGAGCAAGATTGATGAAGTAATTAAAAATTTCAATTTTTTTCAAATTACGAGCATTTTCTATGAATAATTTATAAACAATGAATTTTCCACGATAAAAATAATTTTTTTGGAATCGCAACAAATTTATTCATATTCAGAATTTTCCCAGAAATCTATTTCATGCCTAAAAATTAAAGTATACGAAAGTTCAAACAATTTCAATTATTTTTTTATAAACAATGAGTGTTTAAAAGAACAATAATTCTGTGCCAAATGGAGTTTGAATGACGCTGCATATTCGCGATTTTTCTCCAAATTTTCTGATGTAATTCAATTGACAAATTTGATGATTGAATCTATACTGTGGTCTGCACCAAATGGTAAAAGATACTTGGATATCTTTAAGGATACTAAGGCTATTTTTTCTCCAGTGCTTTTCTCCTTTTGTAGTGGAACATCACAGCTTTCATTTGACCCCATTTGACCCCAAGTTTCCGGATATATTACAATGATTTTATTATTTACACTTTGCGGGTCTCAATTTGAACCTCGATATTAAACCGTTAGAAAACATTTTAAAAATCTGATAAAAATAAGAAGTCTACTTACTTTTGGAGGAAGATTGATGAAATAATTTGAAAATTGCAATTTTTTAAAATTACCAGCATGTTCTATGAATAATTTATAAATAATCAATTTTCCACCATAAAAATCATTTTTTTGGAATCGCAACAAATTTATTCATACTCAGAATTTTACCAGAAATCGATTTCATGCCTAAAAAAATTAGTTTTCCAAAAGTTTGAACAATTTCAATTATTTATTTATCAATGACGAAGGTTTAAAAAAATAATAATTTATTGCAAAATATAATTTAAATGGCGCTGAATATTCATGATTTTTTTCAAATTTTTCTCACGCATTTCAGTTGACAAATTTGGCGATTAAAGGTGGTTGAATCTATGGTGTAGTTTGTACCAGACTGTAAAAGATACTTGTATATCCTTAAATACCCTTGCTACCCATCAAAAAACTATTTCCCCTGTTAAAAATTCCCAACCGAAATCAACAAACCTCTAATTCCAATCCTAATTAATTACAGGAAGATGTTGATGCATTTATGGCTCAACCTGACAACAACAACGAAGTTGAAAAAGTCTTAAAAAAACTCGATGAGAATCACAGCAAGTACAAATTCATGGAGTACAACCTGGCGAATAAGAGGCGTAGACTAAAATCCCAAATTCCCGAATTGGAAAGATCCCTGGAGATGATTAAAAAACTCCAAGCCGAGAAGGACGATAGTCACGACATGGAGACGCAATTTCTCCTGTCTGACCAAGTGTTTGCAAAAGCGATAGTACCCCCCACGGAAAAGGTGTGCCTCTGGTTAGGAGCAAACGTCATGCTGGAGTACACCCTTGACGACGCCCAAGACCTGATGGTAAAGAACATCGAGTCTGCTAAAAAGAACCTCAATCATGTTGACCACGATTTGGACTTTGTGAGAGATCAATTCACAACAACTGAAGTTAATATGGCTCGTGTTTACAATTGGGACGTCAAGAGGAGACAAGCAGCAAAGACGACATAATATTCATAATAAATAATCAACTGTCTAAATTTTCATGCACTGTATTATGAATTAATTTGAATGAAATTGGAGTACTTTACACGATCAATACGAAAATTTATTTATATATTATGTTATAATAATCGGCCAGTTCATATATATTTTTCAATGTTAATAAACTTCAACACTTTGTATTTTCTCTCGTCTAAGGACATCAAATTTCCCAATGAGAAGCCAACAACATAGGTAGAAAAATCCACGAGTGATCCTTAAATTGAAAGAGTGAGTCTACGACGTATACTAATGATAAATTTTGGAATCTCATGGGGAAATTTCCAAACAATTGGAATTTAATAGTATTAAGGCACAAAGTTGGATGGACCATTTGTGTTTAAAAATAAGACTAAGCTCGGAATGATTCAATCGTATCATCTAGGTTTTTGGTCAGTCTATTCGTCACCACTGATGTCCAGTTTAGCTAGTTGTGCTTCGAGCTCTCTATTCTCAGCCTCAACGTCCTCCAGTTTCTTCTCGACACTCTCCACCTCGAGAGTGGCTTCAGTTATTCCTCCCAGGTGTTTACGAATGAATCTGAATTGTTCATTAAGTCCAATCGATCAAAATCTTTCGGTTATGATGTTACAATGAATGGACATAATTATGCAAAAAAAAAAACGATTCAATTCATAGGAATTATCGAAAGGTAAAAGATACTCCAAAGCATTGTCAGGCTTCTCAGACTTTGCGAGAGATGAATTCACAATAACTGATGTTAATATGGCTCGTGTTTACAATTGGGACGTCACGAGGAGACAAGCAGCAAAGACGACATAATATTCATAATAAATAATTAACTGTCTAAATTCTCATGCACTGTATTATGAAATAATTTGAACGAAATTGGAGTACTTTACACGATCAATATGAAAATTTATTTATATATCATTTTATAATAATTGGCCAGTTCATATATATTTTTCAATGTTAAGAAACTTCAACACTTTGTACTTTCTCTCGTCTAAGGATATCAAATTTCCCAATGAGAAGCCAATGACATGAGTGGAAAAATCCACGAGTGATCCTCAAATTGAACGAATGAGTCTACGACGTATACTAATGATAAATTTTGGAATCTCATGGGGAAATTTCCAAACATTTGGAATTTAATACTATTAAGGCACAAAGTTGGATGGACCATTTGTGTTTAAAAATAAGACTAGGCTCGGAATGATTTAATCGTATCATCTAGGTTTTTGGTCAGTCTATTCGTCACCACTGATGTCCAGTTTAGCTAGTTTTGCTTTGAGCTCTCTGTTCTCAGCCTCAACGTCCTCCAGTTTCTTCTCGAGACTCTCCACCTCGAGAGTGGCTTCTGTTATTCCTCCCAGGTGTTTACGAATGAATCTGAATTGTTCATTAAGTCCAATCGATCAAAATCTTTCGGTTATGATGTTACAATGAATGGACATAATTATGCAAAAAAAAACGATTCAATTCATGGAAATTATGGAATGGTAAAGGATACTCCAAAGCATCGTCAGGCTTCTCAGGCTCCTCGTACAACATCACGAGGACCTTCGTCAGGGCATCTAGCACCCCAGCACGCTCCAAATACCTCCTGAACTCCTCCCTCTTAGATTCATTTGGCTAAGGACAATTAAATATCCTTTTATCGAATTCTCCTCAATCCTTCGCGTGAGGTTAATTCTAGAATTATCATTTGTGTACATGCATTATGAAAAATAGTTCACCTTGTAGTTTGACATTCTTCCAATTTTTCTTCAGTCCTTTGTGAATAAATTTTCTGATAATTTATTGGACGCAAATGTCAATTCACTCAATGAGATAAAATAAAAGAGTTCCGAAATAATGGAGCAATGATACGACAAGGGATACGAATACGAGTCACGACGCCGGTTTTTTTTGTGAATTCGCCCTGCTCCAATATGGCATCGCCATCTTGGTTTATCACGTCACATTGTCTTTGCGCGCCTAAATGTTTATTCACGTACACAAGCGACAAAATATGTAACGAAAGAGGCAAATATTTTCATAACAGTCGTTTTCGCAAATTGTTTTTGATAAAAAAAACAACGAAACGTGTCGATCCTGAGTTTTCGGGGCATGAGTTTAGTGGAACAATCTGTCAATTAAATGAATAATTGAGGTTGAGGGAATGTATCAACAGTAAAGCCAGTCTTTGTCAATTGTGCACGAATATCAGAGACTTACAAAATGGGTATCACGGGTTTGCTCCCATTTTTGGAGAAGAAAACAGCAAAGAAGGTGTCTCTCCAGGAATTCACTGGGGGCACAGCTGCTGTTGACACTTATTGTTGGCTGCACAAGGGTGTTTTTACTTGTGCTGATAAATTGGCAATGGGAGTGAAGACTGATGGGTAAGAAATGAGAGAAAACTGATATTCCTGACAGAAAGTATTAAACCATTGAAAAACATTTATTAATTCTTTATTTTGGGGTTTCAGATACGTCACGTACTGTATGAATTATGTTAATCTGTTATTAAAATTCAAGATAAAACCGATTTTGGTGTTCGATGGTCGTCACTTGCCTGCTAAAGCTGAGACTGAGCTCAAACGAAGAGAGTAAGAATAAGACTAGATTTTCATTCATGTTGTTTCCTTGGTTCAATTGGAAGTCAAAGTGAATATTATATACGTTTTAGAAAAATCTAGCCAACTTTCTATTAGTTTTTGGATGATTCTATTCAAATGTTTGATAGAAAATATTCTATAGAAAAAGTCAATGGAATTCGATTTTTCTATAGAACTTCCTCGACTCAAATTTTCTAAGTTTTTTATCATTCTATTTTTCTTTTTTTTCATCAAGAGAATGAAACAAAAAAACTCGGAAAATGTGAGCAGAGGAAATTTTACAGAAAATATCTCAATAGAATAAGTTGTGTAACAGATCGGATTCTATTGATTTTTTCTATAGAATATTTTCTATTGAGCATTCCAATAAAATTGGTCAAAAACTAATAGAAAGTTTGATAGAAATCCCCTAGAATTGTCCAACAAATTCGCTAGGTTTTTCTATTAGTTTTTCATATTATTTAACTGCATACCCCAAGTTTTACTTGTGATTAAATCCAGTATATTTCTTTACGTTGTCTTCTATTTTTATTTTTATTTTCGGAGTATTCCAGTAGGTGAATTATTTATTTGAAAATAAATCTTATAAAAGCCCGTGTATGAGAAGAAATTGGTTGATTCAATTTCGTTAAAGGTATTCTAACTAAGTTATCTTAATTATCATAAATATTCATAAATATATTATATTATTTTCATTTTGAAGCATAAAAAATTACCGAATTTTCTTCGAAAATGAAGGAATTCGATTTTTTGGAAAAAGGACAAACATTTTTGATAAATAACAGTTCACGAGTTCCAAGTTTTTCTCTGCTTTTTTGTGGCAAAACCAGTGTTTCCGCATAAGAGCCAATTTTAAAGTGCAAAAATACTACAGGATTATCTCGTGAGTGGTTTTCATCAGAAATTTCAAATTTCATGGATGGCCCTGAGATAAAACCTCCAGCCTAAACATTTGCAGAACTCAATTTACATTTTTGGTACCTCGCCATACTATCCTTAATACGGCGTTCACGAGAGATCGTGCAGGGAATTCCAATGGACCGCTATATAATTCATACAAGTCCGTTACCTCATTAATATTATCGAATAGTTTTCCTCAATGAAATAAATATCCCATTATTTCTTTCTCATTACAGACAGAGGGATGCAAACCGTAAACGAGCCACGGAACTGATGAAAATGGGTGAAATTGAGCAAGGAAAAAACCTATTGAAACGCGCAATTGACGTGAGCCACGAAATGGCTTTGAACGTAATCAAGAAATGTCAGGAATTGAACATTGACTGCATCGTAGCTCCTTACGAGGCAGATGCACAATTGGCATACTTGAACATCTCCGGAATTGCTGACTTCGTGATAACAGAGGACAGTGATCTCACGCTCTTCGGTTGCAAGAAAATCCTCTTCAAGATGGACAAATTTGGCTGCGGAACTCTCGTAGAGCAGGATCGTCTGTACCTGTCGATGGGCCTTCGTCAGGATGACTTCACCATCGAGAAATTTCGTCACATGTGCATCCTCTCTGGCTGTGATTATCTCCCATCTCTTCCAGGTGTTGGCCTTGTGAAAGCTCTCAAATTCGCTCAGAGGAATAACGACGAGGACGTCTACAATGCTCTGGGTCGTCTAAGCACATACATAAATAAAAATGTTATCATTACCAAAGAATATCGTGAAGCATTCGTAAGAGCCCTGGTGACCTTCAAACATCAGTTGGTTTACTGCCCCCTGAGGAGGACACAAGTGAGACTGAATGCACCACCTCCAGAGGTGACTCCAGAGCAGCTTTATCACGCTGGAGAGCCAGTGGACGAGGAATTGGCTTATCAACTAGCTCTCGGCAACTGCACTCCCTTTGGATTCAAGAAACTCAATGACTTCGATCCTGATCATCGATTGCCCCCAAAGAAGAGGACCAATGGCTGGCATGAGACTCCCTCTGCTCAACATCCCAGCATCTGGTCCAGTAATTTCAAGGTGAAGATTCCTGCAGTCGAGCCTGCACCCTCTGAAGCCACCAACTGGCCAGATACAGTTGGAAGAAGCGTTGTGATGGACACCAAGAGCGTCAGGAGGAAGATCAGTCCTTCTAAGCAGAGGATCAACTCGAAGAACTCATGTTCTAGTCCTGTGAAACGATCCTCTGAGCATTTGGACAAAGAATTAAGCAAGGAAGATTTATTCAAGCTGTATGGGAACACCAAAATAATGAAGAGTGATGAGAAACAGCCTGAAAAGGTGAAGGAGAAGGTGGAGCAGGATGACAACTTCTCGACGCCCACATCTTCACCGAGAAAGTTCAATCCGTTCTTGAAGAAGCCAGCACTCACTGAAACCTCACCGTCGTTGGTTCCACGAGGGCGAAGACGTCCTAAACACACTATTATTGCCCTTCAACCTACGATTGTGGATGAAACAGTAGTCACTGAGAGTAAATTCTTCTCTCGATCAGGAACCAGTGGTGAAGATAAAGAAGCTGTGATAATCCCAGAGACTCAGGAGGAATTGGTGCCTCAGATTCTACGCGTGGATTTTGAGAGAAAAATTGTCAGGAGGAATATTATCATCCCAGAGACTCAGGATGAATTGATTCCTACCAATTCAGAGGGTAAAATAGTTCAAAATCATGTGATAATACCAGAAACTGTGCACACTGAAATTAATGACGAGACGGCGTCTCCTCAAGCCCAGAAAGGAGGTGTAGAAAGGCTAAAGGAAAATGTGATAATTCCAGAGACGATGGACGAGGATGAGACGTTGAGGGATAATTCAGCTGTTGACGAGATGAGAAGAAGAGACGATGATTACAGAACCCCTAGGAATAGTTTCGATGGGAAGAAAGTCAATGTGATAATTCCAGAGAGTCCTGAGGACGAAGAAGAGTTGCCTCTTAGTCAAGGCTCTTGTAAAGAAAACGATGATAATGTCAATATTTTTATAAACGATTATGTCAAGCCTTTGGAGAACGGTCAAATTTTATCGAGAACAGACTCAGGTGTCGACATGAAAGAAGACACAACAGGGAAGAACATTAGTCCAGATAATTCTTCCTCAGAACTCGCAGATAATTTTTCAAAAATTGAGACAAGCACCTCAGGATTGAACATTACGATCAAGAAATACGGTTTGAAGAGTCCTGGAGAGAGAAATGTCAGGGTTCCAAGTCCAGATGATTTCGAGCTCTTTGGGAGTACTGAACCTGTGAATAGTCCAAGGAGCAATTTTTTCAACTGGTCAAATACCAAAAGCCGTGATAGAACAATCAATTTTTTGAATAGCAAGCCCTCCACGTCCTCGCAGAAGAGCTCCTCTCAGAGTAATAGATCTAGAGGCTCGAAACGTCCGCAAGTCTCGAAGAAACTACCTCCTGTTGACTCTCAGCAGAGTCTGCTGAATATGTATGGATTTAGGAAGAAAGACACCGTTAAACAATGATCTACGTAGAATTTTGAGGAGAGATAGATAGCTGGTTCTGTCTTTAGAGAATTGAGAGAAACAGAATCTTCAGAGTTACAGGTGGAATAAGGAGATCGTTGAATTTATGCAGTATTACTTCTTTCAAGGTACTATGAATAGCAGCAAACAATGGATGAAATGAATATACTTTTTCGTTTTTCAATTTTTGTTCATTCCCGAGACGAAAAATCATTTTTACTGTGATAAAATTGTATTTCTAGAATTTCATTCCTGTTATTACTCCATTATTACTCCATCGAAATATCAATCGATTCCATTGTTTTAGTTTCTTGTAACACTGAGAAACTCTTTGTATTCAGCCTTATTCCACTTGATGAACGATTATTTCAGGGATTAGTAATATTGATACTATATTTCAAGACTGGTAAAATTCATGACTCAGGGAATACTCAAATGAAAATAAAAAAAAGCTGCCAATTCCAGTTTTTTGTTTATGAGTATAACTCCTTTGTTTAAGTAGGAATTAATGTTTTCTCATGATCGAGCTTCATAGATTTTATGTACAAATTTATTATTTAATTTCCATGTAACAATTTATTCGTTTTCGTCGATCTATGAGCAGTTCATTATGTATCTACTGTTTTGATGAAAGTTTTTCATAAAGATATTTGTTACAAACGATACTCACTGGTTGTTTTATTGATGTCTGCAGTGTCCGTAGTATGAGAAGCCCCTTGATTGTTGCATGAACTCGAGACAGGAATTCAACTATTCTTAATTAAACAAGGGTATTTCGTTTCTTTCCTTGCGATACCTGCTTGAAAATTTTCCCGTTTCATCACTTATGCGTGACCTTGTCATGATCGATAATTACGGCGCCGAGAATCTGACCATACACTGAGAGAAAAACAAACACATTGTCAAACAAGTCTTATTTTGGCCAACAAAATCGCTAGTTGAAAATTGCCAAAAAAGAATTTGTTTGGTTCGAATTTGAAAGTCTCAAACATGAATAATTGTTCTGCTTTCGACAGGAACGAAATAGTTCGTTCAAGAGGCGGACAATTCACACCAGACGGTGCCTTTTCAGGCTGAAAATATCTCGTATAGAGGAAAATTTATCAACAAATATTTTATCCCAAAGTTACAAGATTGCTATCATATCATTCTTATTGTTTCATTTAAGGGTCCATTTTTTGTCTGTGATTATTAGACAGTTGAAACAAGAACTACTATCCCGTGTTTCGCATAAAACAAAGATTTTTCGGCAGCAAAAGACGTATGGGAGTATCGAATAACGAAGAAGTAGTGCCAGAAATGACATTATTTGCGTGTACAAAGAATGCATTTTTTTTTAACTACTAAATCTATTTTTGCGACAAAAATTTTTCATTCCGGCGCACTCTGCATGTTTGGCACAAAAAAATCCCTTTTTGATCATTTTCAAAAAACTATTTTCTTGGCACAAGTAAGACTTGTTTGAGAATTTTGTCGTTTTTTTTCTCGGTGTATGGTCAGAAAAAAATTACGATTGGCTATAAGCAGGGATTGACGAAATAAATTTTGAGCGTCAATTTCCATGTATATAGATGAGCCTCAATTTTTGAACACTATTCCAGGGAGTTCTATCATTGAGAAGAGAGCCATTGATAATAATTAATAGATAATAGTATATTATCTATTAATCATCAGATACTTACATCGTCATGTGACATACAATATTTTATGTCATTGACATAAAATCATAAATGATAATAATAAATAAAATAATAAATGATCATAATTCAATTCTATTAAAACGTTTTCGGATCAAACACTTAAAAAATGCCCGAAATAAACATGACGGGGAATTGGCAACGATATAGGCGATTTATCGTCATTTTGGTATGAGTCTGACTCAGCTTAACTGTGAGGGTCATTTTGACTGACCTGACCGAAAGGGAAAATGATCATTCCACATCTCTACTTTCCACACAGTGTGCTGAAAAATAGGGTTCGAGATTGCGGGAAAACGTGTTCTTTAATCCTCGGGAGAGTAGCACGCATCTTCGGCGAGCACTATACCCCTCAAACGGATCAAAAAACACTTTTTCATCACGCTGTGACGAAAAGTGAACTTTTCGGCACGCTCTGCGTGCCTAAAAGTGCAATTTCCGCCACATTGTGATGAAAAATATTGTTCGTAACTCGTGAAAAAATGTTTATTAGCTCGTGGGATTATATCACTCGCCTTCGGCTCGTGATATAAACCTCCCACTCGCCAAAAAACACTTTTTTGCACTCGTTACGAAATATACTATTTTGTGATATCTGTCCAGAAAGCGCATTTTTCGAAACGATTTAGTGTGCGTTAAGCGGTTGTTTTCCACACGGCGTGCGTAAAGAGCATAAAGCGAATTCATAACAACACAACAACAACCACAACCACTGCACAACAACAATCACTTTACCCCCACTATCGTTCCGAACAGTAAAGTCGGCAGGTATCACAAAAAATAGGACGTGTTCAGATGATGTCGCAATGGACACACCGCGAAACGTACGTAATGCGTGAAACAATCCAGTAGTGAAGCGGTAAACCGAGTTAAGTCGATTTTGACTATTAGCCAGTTTTTGCTGAATATCTCGGAATCTAAGAGAGATAGCAAAATTTTTCTCATGACTTTTTTTATTACACTCTATTGGCTCTACAAAAAAGGTCATGACAAAAATCTTTCTATCTCTTTTAGATTCCGAGATATTCGTCAAAAACTAGCCAATAGTAAAAAACGACTTAACTCGGTTTACCGCTTCGCTACTGAATCGTTTAACTGTTTTTCGATTGTTCTGAGAATTGCAAGCGTAGAATGAGAATAGAATGCTCAAATTTTGAACGTCATATAATTAAAAACAGNTACAGTGCAAAATTTGTGGACTTGTAATTAAGGTTTTTGATAGTTTCAAACGCTGAATTCTCATATTAAACTGTGGTTATTCGATTCGCGGTACTTTCACATGTAATTTGAGATAAAATGACAACTAGTGTCTAAAATTTGACATTAGAACTACCATTGAACAATTTGCTCGACTACATCAACACAATCCTTGCGCAATATTTGTCCACATGTGACCTAAATGATGTTCGATTTTGATATAAATATAAATAGGCCCATGAGTGTTTCATCTGTCAGTTAACACTAGTCACTGAACCGAAGATTTCAAGTACTAAAAAAAGATGGTGTTTAAAAAATTCTGTGTTATAGCTCTTGCTTGCGCTTATTTTGTTCACTCTGCACCGAAGCATACTGTAAGCTATAAGAACATTGAAAAATATTTTAATTCTTCAAAAGTAATTCCTCTAGACGAAATTAAAATCTTTTAAATTCTTGTCTTCATTGAATTTTGTGACGAAATTATTTTCTGCTATTATTTTCATTCTACGCATATGGCAAACATTTATTATTCTTTCTTCTTGTTATTTTTGATTGTCCTATTGCTGTTCAAGTACACTTAGGTGAAAATACTAAGAAAAGTATTGTGCTTTTAACGTAACATATACTGAGAGAAAAACAAATACGTTGCCAAAGAAATCTTGTTTGGGCCAACAAAATCGTTAGTTGAAAATTGCCAAAAAAGAATTTGTTTGGTTCGAATTTAAAAGTCTCAAACATGAATAATTGTTCTGCTTTCGACAGCATCGAAATATTTAGCTCAAGAGGCGGATAGGGGAGGGTGTGCCTGTACCGCTCAGCGGGTAATACCGCTCACACGATTTTGTCCACAACCATCAACTTGAAAATTTCTTTCTGTTCCTGATCATGAAGAATTTGATGATAGGATGTGATTGTCGGAAAAATTTTAATTTATTTACCACTTGAAATATGAAAAAACACGTAACGAAGTTTTGAGGTCTTTACAGTGCAAAATTTGTGGACTTGTAATTAAGGTTTTTGATAGTTTCAAACGCTGAATTNCATCAACTTGAAAATTTCTTTCTGTTCCTGATCATGAAGAATTTGATGATAGGATGTGATTGTCGGAAAAATTTTGATTTATTTACCACTTGAAATATGAAAAAACACGTAACGAAGTTTTGAGGTCTTTACAGTGCAAAATTTGTGGACTTGTAATTAAGGTTTTTGATAGTTTCAAACGCTGAATTCTCATATTAAACTGTGGTTATTCGATTCGTGGTACTTTCACGCGTAATTTGAGACCAATTCGAACTCAAAATTCCACTCGTGTCAATAATTATCAACAATTTTGTTGACACCGAGCGGAGCCGGTAATACCGGTCATAGGATCGGCCACGTAGTTGCTCGACAGCACTCGAGTACAGGTTAGGTTGCGGCGTGAGCGATACACGCAAAACCCTATGAGCGGCATTGGAATCGTGCCGAGCGGTATTACTCGATGGCGGGTAATACCGCTCAATAGGCTCTGTCTTTTATTTTCAATGAATTTTGTGGATTCTAAGGAGAATTAGGCGTCTACACTTCGAGAATAACGAGTTCAATAGTTAAAGAAGTCTCACAAATACGTTTTTTATACTCATGTTGAAATATAAAATATAAAACTGGAATTTCCCCTTAGGTGGGCGGTACAGGCACACCCTCCTCTTATTCACATCAGACGGTGTCTTTTGAGGATGAAAATATCTCATATAGAGGAAAATTTATCAACAAATATTTTATCCCTAAGTTACAAGATTCCTATCATATCATTATTATTGTTTCATTAAAGGGTTCCTTTCTTGTCCGTGATTATTAGGCAGTCGAAACGAAAAACTACTATCCCTTGTTATCCCACATAAAACAAAGATTTTTCGGGAGCAAAATACGTATGGGAGTATCGAATAACGAAGGAGTAGTGCCAGAAATTACATTTTTTGCGTGTATCAGAGAATGCACTTTTTTTTAAACTACTAAATCTATTTTTGCGACAATATTTTTTCATTTCGGCGCATTCTCTGCATATTTGGCACAAAAAAAATATTTTTTGATAATTTTCAAAAAACTATTTTCCGGGCAAAAGTAAGACTTGTTTGAGAACTTTGTTGTTTTTCTCTCAGTGTAGGTTTGTTTCACTGGCGCCTGAAAATCTCGGCTACACGGAGAAAAAAGTTGGAAAAAAAATACCGAACAAGGCATGTAATCGTGGAGCGGAAGCTATTCGCTAACGTGAGGATAATTTGTGCCGCAATTGTAAAATTTGCCATTCATGCAATCAAAAATTATCCTATAGATGTAAATGATTGCTTAATATTGTGTAATCATTCATGTACGAGGAGTAATTTTTCTGTGACGGAGAATGATATTTTTTACCAAACACGGTATGGTAAAATTTCACTTTCGTCCGCCTCATGTTCTTCACATCCAGAAAAAAATACCCTACCGTTTGCAAAATTTTTCGTGTCCAGGCAGCAGTAATTTTTACATCCATAGCTATATTTTGTTATCGAACGAATAGTAGAAGAGGTTGGGGTAAAACGGACACTTGACTTTTTTAAAAATGTTAATGAGGTGTTGAAATGTTGATAAAATTTAATAATTTTTTTTTCGATACAAAGAACAATTCTTTCCCTTTGCGACCAGCCTAAACTGAGCTCAATTGATCAATTTGTTTCTAAGTTATGAATAATTTTCAAAGAGTCTAAAGTGTCCGTTTTACCCCACCCTCCCCTAAGATATCCTCCGCAAAGGGGATTTTTTATTGAACTACAATTTCGCTCAACTATTGATTACCTTTCGTATAGTAAAATTTACCACGATTTTCTAGTACTTTATATTCAATTTTTATTTTCTTGCTTTTGTACCATATATCGAACCAGAAATTTTGCTTTGCAGTACAGTAATTTTTCTCGCATTTACGAGGAAATCAATTGCATTTCGCAATCAAATTTCTGGCGCTGGCACGCGACTTTATTCATGACTGTTGAAATGAACCCACTTCACCACGCTCTACAGCAATTTTTTTCTCTTCATGTCGATACTACACTGAGAACAAAATTTTCTAATACGTAGACCACATTTACTTGAGAGAAGTAAATTATTTTTCATCACGCTGTGACGAAAAGTGAACTTTTCGGCACGCTCCGCGTGCCTAAAAGTCCACTTTCCGCCACATTGTGATGAAAAATATTGTTCGTAACTCGTGAAAAAATGTTTTTTAGCTCGTGGGATTATATCACTCGCCTTCGGCTCGTGATATAAACCTCTCACTCGCCAAAAAACACTTTTTTGCACTTGTTACGAAATATACTATTCAATGGCTTCAATCTCAGAACGTTTGCGCTTCACGGAACTCGAATAAATTCTCATTTATCACTATCGTTCCACGTTACATCATGAATAATATATCACACGCATCGAAATATTGAAAGTGCATAAAAAAACATGAAAACAATAAATACTTAAAGATTGACGATTCTTCTACGCAATTTGAGTGAGTTCATTTGCAATTCAATCATACTTGAGAACAGAAACATTTTAAGCCATGAGACCTTTTCTCAGACCAGGTGAGTAATCGAGATGCGGAGAATTAAGCGATTGAAGAAAAATTACTTGTCTCAAGTAACTATGTTTCAACTATTAGAGTTTTCTTCCGAGTGGATTAATAATAATTTTTGAAACTCTCATAAAAATGTTCACATTGCTAGTTTTTAAATATATTTTTATTTGTCTCCTTACAAAAAATTTCTATTTTCCTAGTTTTTGCATCTACCATCAAATCAGGACGATTTATTCAACAAAATTGGAAAAGCTGCTTACGAGATTCTTGATGAGAAAGAGAAGGTTTTCAGGGATAACATGGACTCCATGATTGAGACTGGAAAGACCCTTTATAATGCTAGTATACAATCGTGGAATACCAAAATGGTACTTGTCAAATTACCTTTCCGATTTGTATTGAAATTGTTCGGAAAACACACCAAACAGCCAGAAGAGCCTAATAACGAAAACCCGGTGAAGTCCTCAAACGACGTTCCGGCCATTCAACCGGACAAACCTGTGGATGAAGCTCCGGCCGAGCAGCCGGACAAACCTTGTGGAGGAGGCTCCGGCAAAGCAGCCGGAGAAACTGCTAAGGAGGTTCCGCTAAAAAATAATGCCTAAATTTGGTGATGACTCGCTTGATTACCCATTTCTTAAAGTATTCCATGACAGTACATCTGAATAATTTGTTATGAGAATAAAAATGAAAAAACTAAAAAGCGTTGACTCATCTTGCATTTTTCAACTCATTACACTGTTATGAATTAGTTTCATTTCCAGTTACGATTGCAATTGAATTCTCAATGTTGTGAGTTTAATGTAATTTAAGACCACATCATTCATGAGTTTCCATTCATCTTAAAAATCAAACAAAATTAATATCTCAAGGACAGCTTAAATTTTAGACCTCAATATGAAAATTAAATATTTAATTCAATTGAATTTTCAATAAATTGAAAATTCTGTACAATAACGTCCTGAATTTTTATTATTTTCAATAATTTTCCTTGTCGTGTGGACCGCGAAATTAGAAGTTCATTGAATATTCAAAGAAGTAACCTAATTTTTCAGTGACAAAATAGAGATAAATTTCATCTAAATTTAGTGTTGTTCAAAATTTCAAGTTTTTTTATTTGAAATTTCAAGAGTAATTTTAAAACACTATATGTCATACCGGGAAGCATATGCTTTTATCGTCATACAATGGTATTTTACCTAACGAGTTGGTAAACGACGAGTGTGATTACAGCCCTCGCCTTTCGGCTCGAGACTCACACAGAAACAAGACTCATCAGTCATAACTTCAAGGCCTCAACCCCACACGTACGGGGGCGATACCATGTATTGACCCATGAAAATGTGAAGGACTCTTTTCAAAATTGATTATTACCAAAATTATAGAGAGGAGTGGCGCCCAGCTCATCATTGTCTCCGTATCCTGTTAATTTAATGATTCTGTGCATTCACAAATTATCGAAAACTGGTGTCACCGTGTGTTTAACATTCTTCGTGATCATAGATCGGCATCAGTCATTACTTTTAGTAATATTATGAGAAGCTGCACCTTGGTAATTTAGATTTATTTATCGCAATTAAACGTTGAAAATTAATATAATAATTGGTAATTTAATTTCTCAATTATTAGTTGATAAAATAATTCGGAATTTGAAATTTAAATTGATGGTTATTTTTAAATTTAAAAAATTGGTGAGTAATATTAACAATTGGCTTATTTCAAATTTAACTGTAATTCAAAATTTCGATTATGCCGATGTCTGTTCATGGTGGATGATAGTCTCCGATCACTCGGGCCTATATAAGCTGAGGTGCGCCTCAGGAAAAGTCATACCAACTTCAATAGTGCGAGTAAGTTTTCAAAATTCGACAGTTGTAATTGTAAAGCTGAGTCATGCCGCTCCTGAAAATTTCATTCTTGGTAATTGCTATTATTGTCGGGGGTATTTCCTCCGCCGAGGAAGTACCTGCACCTATAATTAAACAAGATTGCCCACCAGACTGGAAGTGGCCTCTGTGTTGACTGAGTATCAGTCATATTTTTCATCTTTTTCCCGAGTAGGAATTCTACTCAGGTTGCCCGATCTATTGATAATAAACCTTTATTTGATTCAAATGAAGTTTTTATTCATGACATAGGGGAGGATAGCCCTGTACCGCTCACCTAAGGAAATATCCCAAATTTCGGATCTTAAACCTCAACCCGGAATGTGAACAATTATTTTAATTTCTTGTTTAACTATTCAAGGTGTTATTTCTGAAGTGCAGAGACTTAACTCAAGTCCAAATTTGTAAAATAAATGAAAAACGAAAGTGAGAGCCGATTGAGCGGTATTACCCGCTGTCGGGTAATAACGCTCGGTGCGGTTCCCATATCGCTCACTCCGCTGTCTGTACCGCTCACGCTGCAACCTAACCTGCTATCAACAACTGTCAAATGACAGGAAAAAAATATAACGAAATGAGTGGATAATAGTATATTTCAGCACGTGTGGGGCAATTTCGTCTTTAACGTGTGTGGGGTTTACAGCATGAGCCGAAGGCGAGTGATGTAACCACACACGTTAAGGACAGAATTTCCGAACAAGTACTGAACAAAATTTTATGTCACGAAGCCTGAAACCGGCTGAATTAGACACGAGACGCGAAGCGTCGAGTGTGTAATCCAGCCTGTTTCAGGCATGAGTGGCATAAAGTACATTAAATCTTGTTTACTAGATTGAAAAGTCAATCATGGCAGCATGGCGGGAGTCTACCATAATGTTATTGGCTAAATCATTGAAAAATTCTAACGCCCACTATTCAAAAATTTATTATCGTAATTTCATAATTCTTATGTCATTGAATTACTGATTATCCATTCTATATTTCCTCACAATTTGTAAACAAGGTACTGACATCAGCTTGTATACTCTTGTGTGCCTAATTATGAAATATATCATGTTTGAAATAAATAATTCGTTCATTTGATCTAGTTAAATTCTTTATCGTGAAACAAGTAAACAAGTTTATTCACTTGTAACAGAAATATTCTTGAAATAAGTGAAAAACTTCGAATAAAGATTTTTATTTTATTCAAATAAACCTTTTTCTGGGTGCGAGGTAACCTAAGCCTGATGGCTGGAGGAGTTACGAAAACATTCAAATTTCATAATTTTTTTCTTGAGGACCTGATCTAGAAAAAATACGGAAAAATTTGCAATGGTGCAGAATACATAGAAATTTATCCCATGAATGTTTAAATTTTTTAAAACTATTTTGATTTTTCATACGAAGCACCTTAAACCCCGACCGGATCCGAATGGCTCTAATATTGAGACAACAGAGCATGCGTAGCATTTTGATAAGATTTAGATGGAACGAGCGTCTCATTTTTCATTCCAGGCTGCCTCTAGCTTGATTCAAACTTCCACTCCGGTCAATGTTCATTCCTAAATATGGATTAAGGAAAATCATGCTCTATTATTAAGCTATTTCATTAAATTTCAAACAATGATCTGAGGAATTATCATCAAACCAAAAGATTATATCCTGGGGCAGATATTGAACCGCTCCTTACTCTGGACGAACTATTTCATAGTCGATTATTGAAATTTTCCTTCATGACTGTCAACGAATATGATATTTGTTTCTACAAGTTGATGAGACATTGGTTATTAAATTAGTTATTAAATCGGGGTCAATATTATATCCGTCTTGTATACTGCATTTTTTGCCGGAAAGTATACCACATATAAACGGAGATAAGGGACATATATTTCTGTGTATATATTTTTTCCATGTGGGCTGAGAAAGTTCTGTTGATTTAGGCTAAATAAACTCCCGGTGAACCCGTTGTGTCTGGTTTCTCTCAAGGTTGCCTTGCACACATCACGTAGTCATAGAATTTAATGAGAACGAATAATAGTCGGAAGATATGTGTGTAATGCCTCCTATGTTAAATGGCAACCAAGATAAATTTTGAATTTTTTCGGTCGCTGAAAATAGTACGACTATCGTGCGACTCTTGATATATATTATGGGATACCTCCACAAGGTACCGGGAGGTAAAATAAAGGACCTTTACCCACCTGCTTACAGGAAATAAAGGAGTCGTGAGTGGGCACGACTCCTTTATTTTCCCTCCCTTGGTGGGAAATATACTATTTTTTTCCAAAAGTGAGGGAGCAATTTTCCACTCTAGAGCGGAAAGTACTGATTGCTTTCCACTCAAGGGCGAAAGTCAGTACTTTACTCAGTACTCAGTCAGTAGTTCAGGATTGAAAAAATCGTATAGAAATTTTCTATACGGATTGCGTATAGAATTTCTATAAGATTTTCATATATGATATTCGGATATTTTTTATACAAATTATTTCTATACGATTTCTGCAGGTTTGATCCTATGCTACCCACTGTCACATATATAGAACCATTTCGTATGGAGTTGCGACATATAGAAATATCCGAATATCATATACGGAAATCCTATAGAATTCTTATACGCTATCCGTATAGAAATTTTCTATACGATTTCTTCATCCGTGTTACTTTCCTCTCTCGGGAACAATTTTCGGTCACTTTAGGGATTCGCGTTTGTAAAATCCAGTGATTGCAAAATTCTAAAATTCAGTGATTTTGTCACCAATCTTCAGTGATTTTATCACTGATTTCCAGTGACATAATTTTACACGTTTACCTACTATGATAACCTTTCTTCTTGCTTCCTGTTGAAAGGGAGTGAGTTTGGGGTTCCTCCGTGCATATAACCGGCTAGAGGGGTCCTCAAAATTATAAAATCAAAATGGGGAATCGCATCCGTGTAATGTACGTTGAGTAGATATTTCACCTTTAACTGTCCAAAAAAAATGACACGCCAAGTGCATGGTATAATACGTCAAAACAACCGAGTAATTTACTCCGAGTTTACTTTTTCAATTCATCTGGTAAAAAACAGAACATGATGCCAATGTGTAACCAATAGTAAATATGTTAGATTTAAACGCAAAGTAGTAGACTAGAAAATAAAAAATTTTATTTATTGATTTGGTGGAATACATTTCTTCAATTGTGTCAATGGCCAATTATCCGTCGTCATATCGTGAAATTTTCCAAATTATCAATATAACTAAGATTGTTCTGTGTTCGTTTGCTAGAATGGAACATCCTGAATAAATGCCTCAAATACTGCTCTATGAAAAACAATTTTTGAAAATGGTATATTAGCGCACGCCGATTTCCTTTCATTTTGATTAATGCTAAAACAACTCTGTCAAAAAATTAAAATGTCTAATTCATTTGGATGTAAAAAAATAGAATTTATATAGCGATAAGAACATTATCAGTTCCGATATGACCGTCCCAAATGTCAGTATTGTGAGCAGCCAAGCGAAAAATTAAACACTGATCAAGCAATTTTGTTTTTTTTTTTTCATTATCACAACAAATTATTCGAATCTATCTCTACTGTTGTTGCGTAAATTTTGAAAAAAGTAAATACAGCAAGTCAGCATCAGATTCGTCCGTTATGAATTCTCCATCAATAAGATCGGCAATTTCCCAACTAGTATTGGCGACTGCGGGTTCCTCTGCCGGAACCTCGTTTGTTGGCCTCTCCGGTTCCTCAGGCGAAACCTCATTTGTAGGCTTCTCCGGTTTTGCGGCCGGAACCTTATGTGTAGGTTTCACTGGTTCCTTGGCCGGAACCTCGTTTGTAGGCCTCTCCGGTTCCTCTGGCGGAACCTCATTTGTAGGCTTCTCCGGTTTCGCGGCCGGAACCTTATTTGTAGACTTCTGTGATTCCTTGGTCGGAACCTCATTTGTAAGCTTCTCCGGTTTCTCGGTCGGAACCTCATTTGTAGGTTTCTCTGGTTCCTTGGTCGGAACCTCGTTTGTAGGCTTCTCTGGCTCCTCAGCCGGAACCTCGTGGCTGACATGTACAGGCTTCGCTAACTGCTTGGCCGGTAATTCGTTTGTCGCGTTTTCTAGCTGCTTAACTGGCAGCTCCTTTGTAGGCTTCGCTGGTCGTTTCGCCAGAATCTTGTTTGTAAGCTTTTCTGGCTGCCTGGCCGGAATCTCGTTCGATGGCTTCAATGGGTGTTTGGTCAGATTCTCGTTTGCAAGCTTCTCCGACTGGTTGGCCGGCACCTTGTTAGTGGGCTTCTCCGCCTGCTTGATCGGAACTGCGTTTGGGAGCTTTTCTTGTTGCTTGGCAGGAGTTTCCTTCTTTGGCCTCTCTGGCTTCTCGGCCGGCACATTATTTGCCGGCTTCTTTGGTTGTTTCCTTGGTACCTCGTTTGTGGGCTTCTCTGGGTTTTTGGCCGGCTCTTTGTTTGTGGGCTTCTCTGGCTTTTTGGTCGGCCCTCTGTTTGTAACCTTCTCTAGCTGCTTGGCCGGAAGCTCCTTTGTGGGCTTCTCTGGCCGTTTGGGCGGCCCTTCGTTTATGGGCTTCTTCGATTGTTTGGACGGAACCTCCGTTATGGGCTTCTTTGGAAGCTTGGCCGGCAGTTTATTTGTGGGATTTTCTGGTAATTTGACCGATACTTCGTTCGTGGTTTTCTCTGGCTGATTACCTGGCACCTCGTTTATAAGCTTCTCTGGCTGTTTGACCGAAATTTCATTCGTAGGCTTCTCCGGCTCCTTGGTCGACACTTCGTCTATGGGTTTCTCTGATGGGTTTATAGGCACCCCGTTTGTAAGCTTCACTGGTTGCTCGATCGGGATCTCGTTTGAAGTCTCTCCTGGTTTCTCGCTCGTAGGCTCTTCTGAATTTTTGGTGCCTTTTCCGAACAATTTTGATGCGAATCGGAAAGGTAATTTGGCAATTGTTAATGTAGTATTTAGCGATTGTCTACTAGCGTTATAGATGGCTTTCCCGGTCACGACCATGGAGTTGAATTTATCCCTGACGCTTTTTTCTTTCTCCTTGAGAACCTCGAAGGCAGCTTCTCCAATTTTTTGGAATAATTCGCCGTGAGCTGGTAGCTTCTAAAAATAAAAAATAATGATTTCTCATTTAGAGATTCATAAAAATATGTTTGCAGTCAGTAAATTGACTTATTCGATGGAGAAAAAAATTGAAAAATAGCTGTGGTCTGTGCTAAAACGAGTATATTTTATCGATCACGAGGAAATTCAGTTGCGAAGGCGACAAATTTTAGCGCGTTACGACAGGGTAAAATTTCTGGGGCGGGTACTCAATTTTTTTTTTAATTACGGTCATTATCTTGGTGTTTTTACTTCCGATTGAAAGCGTTGTAATCGATGGATTTTGTGATTTTCTATTTTTCGTGGAAGGCAACTTAGAATGTTATGAAACGTCGAGATATGATGTTTTTAGAAAATGTCTGTGTATTTGCCCGTATGTGTGTGCAAAATTTTGGGAAATTGTGTATAAAACATGACAAAAAAAGAACTACACTGTTAGAAAATTACTCCTGAAATTTCAAGTAAAAAATCTTGAAATTTTTAACAATCACTCATTCACACGAAATTTTTATGTATTTTGTCATTGAAAAATCAGTTAAATTCTGAAATATTCAATGGAATTGCAATTTTCAAGTCCACATGATGATGAAAATTATGAAATAATTTGAAAATTCAAGTAACAATTTCCCTGGAATTTCAGTCCACTGAAAATTCATTTGGATGTGATCTTCAAAATTTCCGCAATTAATTTGAAAATTCTAGATGTCATTGAAATATCAGTGATAATCTAACATAGAAAGCCCAATTATCCTGAATTTCTAACCTGAATAAGAGATTCCATGAATAATTTGAACTTAAATTGAATTCAAATTCATAACATTGAAAATTCAAGTACAACTATTGCATAATTTTACAAAAAAAATTAACAGTGTAAAAGAATAGTGAAAAATCGGAAATTTTGGCCCATAATCAGTATTGTTTATGGACTCCTATGCAAAATTTTAGCTCAATCGGTCCCTCAGATTTTGAGACAAAGGGGTCAGGGTGATCGATTCAATACTTTTTGGATCTGAACAATTGATGTTAAAAACGTTTTTCTCGAAAAATGACATGACACATGGAGCTGACTTAAAAGGTCATATAATTTTATATTACCTGATTATTTTCGAAAAACATGTTCTAAACGACCCCTGCAGGGTCGTTTAGATTATCCGGACTTACTGGATAAAAGCGAAACTTAATTCTCAATTCAGTAGCGAAGCAGTAAATCGGGTTAAGTCGGTTTTGACTTTTGACCAGTTTTTGATAAATATCTCGAAATCTAAGAGAGATAGCAAAATTTTTTGCAGGATCTTTTTTATAACCCTTAATGAGCTCTACAAAAAAGGTCATGACAAAAATTTTGCTATCTCTTTTAAATTCCGAGATATTCGTCAATAACTGGCCAATACTCAAAATCGACTTAACCCGGCTTACCGCTTCGCTACTGAATTGTGGAAGGTCAAACCGAAGAATGAATTTTCTGTATCTCCCGGTAGATACCCTGTAGAATGGGGTTGCGATTGTATGTCTGTCATAGGATAGGGATTTGCTACGGATCCATTCAGAACCTTATTACTACTAATTGAATGGGTACAAATAAAAAAAGCAAGAAGGCTAATAACGCAAAAAGTAAAGATTACATGCCGTCTGTCGGATCAGTTCGAATCCCTGCTTGAAAATAATGTCTCCCCGAAAATAATAACGACATCCTCCAAAAATATCAAAATATTAGAATTTTTAAGCGTTATTGACAATAATATTATCAAGGGGAAATATCTTTACGGAATTCTGGAATAGTTTTCAATGTTCTTACGTGAGGTTTCGGTATGACCTGAACAAAAGTACAGGCAAGAAGTATAATAAATAATTCTTTATACATAATTTTTCTCTGCTCCTTGAAATCTTCCGGGTAGTAACTGTCAACTGACAGATGAAACAATCGTGAGACTATTTATATTTTCTTCAAAATCGGGCATGATGTAGGCCACATATGGATAAATATTGCGCAAGCATTGTGCTAATGAGGTTGAAATAGTACTGGAAGCTCGCGTGTTGGGTGGATGCGGTATATAGAGATTGCCCTACAGGCTATCTACAGGCCGTAGATAGGGTAAACAGGTCAATTTCTGGACGGGGGTTAGTTTCTGGACGATTTCAACTTGCATTGAATATTCCAGAAATAAAATAAAAATTGTATTAATTATTTCACCTCTCCATAATATCGCTTGTGTATAATCACGTGATCAATTATTTTTTTCTATTGATCAACATTTAATAAATAATAAAAAATATGACTCAGTCGTCCAGAAATTGGGGGCTTCGGCTACATTCAACTATTTCTCAATTTACTTATTCTTTGTTTTGTTATTTCCACTTTAAATAATTTTTTTCTGCTAATTAAAATATTCCTGAATGTATGGAAGCCATCATATCCCCATTTAGGGGATTCTATTATTTTAGATCCTACCACGAAACTCGAATTTCCTTTAACCGTCCAGTAATTGGCCTGGCCCAGGTAAGAATTACATAGGCTGACGATAAGAACAAGCCTGTATGAGCCCAGGGTTGGCGAGGCTCAGTTCCCCATGCTCCCTAGATTAGGTTTATACGACCTTTTTCCACTTCGTTGACCGAAAAATCCCAAAACTAGTTAATACGACCTTTTTCATTTAGCACGCCATATATCCTCTCATATACAAAAGTCGTCCAATCGCTCATAAGACCAAGAGAACACTTTTAAATTTCACCGTGGTCTCGCCTCAAAGTAGTGAATGACTTCTTGAACTACTTTGGAATATCCACTTTTGAGAATTTCTTGGCTGCCATAAAGTGGCAATTAAATTGAAGGCTGAAGCATTTTCTGATCTCTATGTAAGCATATTTCAACTTTGTTATCATTTCCACGTAGTGAAATGATGCAATGATTGGTGTGTTAGAAGAAAGCAAAATTAAAATGTTAGCCATGAAATACTTTCTGGTGGCCTAATATAAACATAAAAAGAAAAACGTGAAGTTAACGATGCGGGGGTTTCAATCGTGGTTATGCTTTTCCATTCGGTTGACAATGAAAGAACGCCTCATAATCGTTTATCAGAGATTCACACTATTATTCAGTCACAACTATCCAAATATAATAAAACACAGGTACAAATCACCTCTCTCCACTAACGTGACCCGATTGATCTAGTTTAATGCAAGCTGGAAGAAATGGGATTGTTTTAACTTTGTCAGCAATGTTTGCGTAATATTTGTTCAAATGTACTCTACATCACGTAAACTTCGTCAAATTTTGATATAAATAGGCAATATGATTGTCTTATTCATCAGTCAACGGCTATTCATCAAAGAGAAGATTCCAAGTAGCAGACCAAAATGGTTTACAAAGTATTGTGTATTACACTTCTTGCCTGTGTTGTTGTCCAGGCAGCACCGAAATTGGATGTAAGAAAATTCAAGAATACTATTATTTCCGGAGATTATTTCTTATTTGAGAGAAAATCCTGGTATTATCTGAGTTTGTGATTTTATTCTTATCCTTATACATCAATTTTTATAATTTCCTATCATACGCAGAGAGAAAAAACTATTGATTATTTCGACCGTATTCAGCTGATAATTTTTGATAATTCCACTGGTAATTTTTCATGTTGATATATATATATGAAAAACTAAAAATTTCCTGGTCGAGTAAGCTCTCATTGGAACTGACGGATGGATTTTGACTCATAGTGCGATTCTCTTGGCCGTGATTTGGATGGAAAAATTCTCTTCCGAACACTACTCGAGCTTCAAAATTAATCAGGTATTTCCCTCAACTTTTCCTGCATACAAACGAATCCATCCGGAAATCCCTGATAATTTTGAAGCTCTTGTGGTATTACATACGAGAATTTTTCCCATCCGAATTTCGGCCAACAGAATGACACTAATTGACTTATTTTATACAGTCAACATGGTATTCAACTGAGAATTTTCCGGGACTGGATTTTAGCCAATCACACCGCAGTATTCGAGGTCACGATACTCTTTTGTTATCAAATTTTTTCGGAAATTGCACACTAGCTTCTGGAAATTGCATCTGATAATTGCATAGTAGCTCTTCATTTATTTCTAACCAATTGGATATTTTGCTGGAAGAAGCCCTCGAATATTACGCTCCGCTTGGACAAAATCCAGTCCCGGAAAATTCTCCGCCGAATACCCCTCGACCTTCAAAATTAATCGCAATATTTCCCTCAAGCTTCCCTGCAAACAAACAAAAGTGTCAAGTTTTGCAGAAAAATCCCCCTGGACAATTTTTTTTCGTTTTTAGCCTGCAAAACTTGACACTTTCATTTGTTTGCAACGAAGCTATCGGGAAATATTCCGATAATTTTGAAGGTCTCGGGGTATTATAACTGATTATTTTTGGTCATCGGATCTGGCCTTTCCTGGGTAAATCAGAGTTCAGTATTCAATAACATGAAGTACTTCCCAATTAAAATTACAGCGGTTATTTCCCCCTAGCTTTTGATAATTTCCCTTTATCTCTGCAATTGTTTCTCTAACCAAATAACTGTCAAATATTATCCTGTGGAGTGAAAGAAAGTCATCAAGAAAGTCAAAATGAGTTGGTTTTTCCCTCAACCTTCCCTGCAAACAAACGATCGTGTCAAATTTTGTAGGAAAATCATGTAGGTTATTTCAAACCTACAAAACTTGACACTCTCGTTTGTTTGCAACGAAGCTATCGGGAAATACCCGATCATTTTGAAGCTCTCGGGGTATTACTACTAATAATTTTTGATTATTTTTCCCAAATCGGATTTTTACCAATCAGAATGCAATATTTGAGGCTACCCGACAGTTTTATTTGAGATATTTCCTCCCAGCTTTTGAATATTTTACAGTAGCTCTCCATTTTTTTACCTGAATATTTCGCAGTGGCTCTTCATTTTTTCGGTTCATTTCAGATCGAATCTTGTATTTAACAGTCTAAGGAAATCAGGTTATTCTATTAATATAATTTGTTCAAATCTCCCTTCATTCACCTCCTGATGTTCTCCACTGTACTCTGACCAAAATCCGATTGAGAAAAATAATCCGACAAGTACCCCTCGACCATGAAAATGAATCGGAGTATTTCTCTCAAGCTTCCCTGCATACAAACGAATGCGTCAAGTTTCGCAGGAAAAATCCCTCGCACAAGCGCTCGCGTTTTTTTAACCTGCGAAACTTGACATATTGGTTTGTATGCGACGAAGTTATCGGGAA